CCAGAATTAAGTTTGCATCCTCGAAAGGAATACCTCCACCGATTGATTACAAGGAACAGAATAGTCCTCTCGAAGTTAAAAAAATTAAAACCTTAATCTCTGAAGCTAACCGCATAATCATGTTGTCTACGGCATTGGTTACTGGTGAAATTTCTGTTTATTGCATTTTCAGGTAAATTCGTTACAATATGTATAGTTCCATGTATGTATGGTTTGTGCCTGCTACATTGACGTTAGCGTTTTCTGCACGATATGCATACACAAGTATTACACTTGCGGGTCTACATCTCATGTGTTATACGCTGCACAGTACAGCCACATATTAAGATGCATAAAATTTACAGTATGTATATTGGTTACAGATGCGAAATTGGTTCGTATCGGTATGGAGTGAATGAAACTGATTTACGGGTCAATGCAATCTGGCACTCTGTCAGTTTTGCCGCATAATGGCTAAGTCCATTCCTCAATCTATGTCATAGCACTGGTCTACTGCGAGCTTAATTTCACGCCATGACTAAGGCGATAATGTGGTAAAAATCACATATTGTCAGTTTGGACTAAACCGCAGATAAAGTTATGTCCACAGAGGTATGGACTGAATTGTTAACGTAGTATATACACAGTTGATATGATACGTGCAGCAGCATACTATGCCACACAGTTAGAATACATGCATGTACAGTAAGCAGTATGCAATTAAATTTATGAAAAATGTTTTGGCATAGCCGCACATAAGCCCTGTGCTATCCGAGTAACGTTCCTTTGCTTCGACAATCCGTCCGACTATCTTACGGGTAGCCATGAAGGCATCGTGCCCTTTTGTTGTAAGACGCAGTCGAAACGAAATACGTTAAGTACCGCTTCTCTCAAGCTGATGTCCAGGGACTTTCTCCGGAAGTACAAAGCTACCGTGAGCTCGTTATGTTATTCCGAAAGTTACACATGCGTCTATGCGAAATAAAAGGTCATCCGCAAGCTATTTATATAAAAAGCAACAGGTAAAACATTAAATTATGGGTTTATTAAATACTTTTTCAGTTCAATAGTTCAATAGATTTTCACCTTCTCAAAAATTCGTGATTTGCATCACAATCATATTCTCACATGCCTTCAATCCTCATTTTGATAACTCTATCCTCTCCTGATTCATTACTCTAAAGCGATTACAATTAAGAGGTTTTAATTGCTGTAAAAAATTTGAAATGGCTGAAGTATATATGCTGAAAAGTCGGTATTCGTAATCAACCGTACGGAGTAACGATAGTAAACCTACATCTCAAGAATGGCGGGTTCAATTTCCGGGCTTTTGTGGCTTATTAAGGGCAATAAACAGTGCGCTCGGCAAAGAGGCTTACAAAACGGTTAAGAGAACGAATAAAATAGTATGTCCTTTGGTTCCAGTTGTTGGCAATTTTGTTTCTTGTCCTTTAACCCGTTACTCAGCTGCTTGCGCTTAAGCAAAATAACATTAATTCAAGACGATCAGCAGTCCATATAGAATAAACGCGCGCCGCTCAGATTTGAACCTGAAGAAAAACTTTCCGTGTAAAGTTGAACAAGTTTTCTCTCCCATTGCTTCTCATTCATTCAATTATTTGTTCATTCATTACTGTAGCCTGAAGATCAGAAAAACAATCTTCTTTTAGCACAAATGCAAGCATTTAACAAAGAAATAAAAGACTAAAAACTTGAAAAATTGTTTTAAAAAGAGAATAATAGTTATTTATTATGTGCTGAACAAGCAATACAGCTGTCGATTCTGAAAGTCGAACTTGATAAATATTTTTCCAGGCTTCTAATGAATCCTCTCTATATGAATCTTTTATATTGAACACTCAGTCCTGATGATGTAATCTGTGTTGGAAACGAAACGCGTCGACGGTTAGCCAAAATTATGCATTCTAGCTTAACGTTAGGGTTTCTAACCATGCATAAAAATATCCTGTTGATGAAGCATAGCGCCAGATTCAAAAACTTTCAAGAGCTATATTATTTTCACAAGATATCGTGCTGCCAACCATGGAATCAGAAGATCCATCACCTTCATCTTTTCAATGAATCAGCATGTCAACTTAAATATACGGAAGGTGTAATTTGGCGATTACCTCTATTAAAACAAGACACAGTTCCTGAATGCAGCAGTAAACATTTATCACTTACTGTTGAACATTCCATAGCATGGGAGACTGGTATAAAAGAATACATGCATTGCAAAAAGTGTAATCAGATTATCTTATATTCATTCCGTTTCAAGAAACAATGCAAAAAGGAATTTTATAAGCGTTGAAATGTCGATCATCCTTACACTTTCATGATTGTTGACTGGCGCTGATCTCCATCATGTCACTAATCACGAGTTTCACATATTAAAGGCAAAGTCAACAGCAGCTATGTGACTTGTTCCTGTTTTCTTCCCACCAAGTGGTATTCGTTTATCAACTTCATGGCGAAGAAATGTGAGTGATCAACCGGGACTTGAACCCAGAACCTCTCGGATCTGAGTCCGACGCTCGGCTGACTGAGCAAACAAACCCGTTCCGAAGCATCACGTGGTAAATTTCTTAATCAAGGGAATTCGCAGCTACGACAAAGATTGCCCAGCGCCTCTGGAGTTCGAAGATGAACTCTTACCCCGTGTCGCACGCTACTTAAGGTGAAGAGTTTCTATGTTGGCAGTGAACTAAATTGGTAAATCCTAACAAACATAAATCATAACTAAAACTGTTAATCAGAGAACTGATACTTCAAATTAGATGGCATTATACAATGTTCTGTTTTTACTAATGCTGTCACTCTTGATGCACAGTTCCGCGACTGTCCAAAATTTTGAATCTTCACCTGAGTTTTAACTAACTACCTTTGAACAATACGGTTTTCCTACTATGAGCAACACAATAAACTATACTAATCTTGCACTCATACATAGCTTCAATCTCAACACCCTCAGTGATTTGCAAACGACAAACTCATAGCCTGCCTTCGCAACAAGCACAAGGCTCAACTTATAAAATTCTTGAACGCGCAGTTGGACAGTCAGATCCCACAGTCTATGGGCCATACAAAGTTCTGCGATATTAGGCAACGGTCAAATCATATTTGGAGATCAAATACAGCGAGCAGCAGTGAAACCTGCGCTATTTTCATAGACTACAGGCATCAATATTTTACAGTAGGAGCGTATCGCATCCAAAAATGACAGAGCAAACAATTGCTAATGCAGAAACATTACTTGAAACGCTTCGCAGCTTGGGCTTCCAGCAAGTAGTCGCACTCCAAGGCCAGCTCTTGGTGCATCACCTTCGCAAAATTGTCGAGAAAAAGTCCGCGAGGCAAAACGGTGCTCAGCGAAAGGAGGCTCAAGAGGTTATTGATATCCGAGTCAATACTTTGCGCGACACCGGGGTACTAAAAGAAGAGAATACATGAGAAGGCAATGAATGATAAAATCACAGGGAAACGCAACACGTAAAACCATGACAAAAGAGTAAATCAAAATCAAGTATTCAAAATAGTTGGTTAGAGGGGTCAAGAGAGTAGAAGATCCACTGTATATCATAGGAGTGAATTCGAATCCAAAGTGGAAGACATTTTTCTTATGGCTCAACGGTTCTCTCAGCTTTTCTGAAACATCACGATATTCTAGTGCAGCAATGCGATATTTATAGTCACACAACCTAATGTACGCACCTATACGTTGTAAATCATCTTTTCAAGGCCAGTAGCAGATCAAAAGTTAATACAGGGTACAAAAAAATAAATAAATAAAATACTCAGCGTCGTATTTTCGTTGATGTCACCAATACTTTCCATTTTTCACATTTGTTTTCAGGAGCTCAAAAAATCTCTTGAGTAGTAGCAAAGCAAACCTGAGTATATTTTCTACAGAGGTTTTAAAAAAATACAGATTCAGAGAAACATGACGCTGAGAAAGATGAAGATAAGCTACATTTTTTAATGCATGTCAATCGTCGATAACCTTCAAATTACTAGGCCATATATTTTGTTTCAGCAACAGGCGGTTATATTTTGTGGAGGAGCGGAAGAAGGCATCGAGAAGGGAATATTCATGGTAAAGTGTCTTGCCAATGTAAGATACGCTGTTCGCATATATTCGTGCACATAGCCTTCCAGAGAAGACAAAAAGAGTACAATCAGGTGTAACTTCTACTAAATACTATTTAATTTGATCCGTTTCAATATAAGATTTTTTATTATGGCGTAAAAATACAAAAACGTTTGCGCTAACCTCAAATATCATTTAAACTTAAGTAAAATTATTAGGAAAGCTTCAATTTGAATATTTAATACGATGCTCACTAGAAGAAAAGAAAGGACAAAAATCTGTCACCTTCAGAATATCGATCTTCCTTCATTTTCATGATCCAGTCACTTTGGCCCCCTTCCTTTTATAAAGCTGATGGTGCGAAAATGATCTCCGTTTCGATATTTCTATTTTTTAAAGACAGCATATACAGCCATGTATGCTATTATATATAACGCAATCTATTGTCTATTGTTTCCTTGCCACAGAGTGGTACTCATTTATCAAACTCAAAAAAAAAGAAGAGCGAGTGACCAAGACTGGGCTTGAACTTGGGACGTTATCTGTTGTGAGTGGACGTTCTATTGACAGAGCAAAGTTTGCCTCAAGCAACATGTAAATTGACTGTTCAATGCAATTCGTGAATAAGACAAAGTTTGCCTCCAAAGGAACTGAACTCGTCACCTCCGTAAGGCAAAGCAGACCTAAGTGACACAGTGATCCTGGAATGTTTTTCTGAATGCCTGTTTATCAACAATATGCAACAAAAATCCAGAATTACAAAATGAAGTAAAAAACTAAGACAAATAAAATATACTTGAATTTTTAAAGCCGCTTCCTCACCGGATTTCAGCACTACTCGGTGAACCTCTCCAATAGACGCCGCGGCGAACGGTTTCTCTTCATACTTTTCGAACAGCTGCTCCCAGTCATCGCCAAACTCGTTTCGTAGCATTTTCTAAACCGAGAGAATAATGGCACCAAACCATATCTGGCATTCGAAAGAGCGCATTGCAAAGGCAAAAAGCGATATAAAATGAAACAATACGTTAACGGTGGCCGACCCGTAAGACGTCACAGGTAGTCTCCAGTCTCAGATAATACGGTAGCTTTATGTTTACAGGACAAAACGAAATGAAATGGCAAGGTAACCTCGTAAAAGCAAAGAAGACGTCTGGATTATGGGTCTCACTACACTGAAGATATCTAATGAATTTCGAGTTCGACTATGCTCAAGAAATAAAAAGACGAAAGTGAGCTGTATTAAAAATTTAGCAGGAGTGACTCATTAAGATCTATTACATTAAAAGAGTTTACTGCTTAAATTAGTGGAAATAACACGACTACCATTTCAGCAATCACTGACCCATTAGCATAGCAATATACATATAGTGCATAAAAAGTAACAACAAACAAATTGCATAATAATGAGAAAGGCTTTAAAGAGTGAAGAAGACACCGATTAGTGGAGAGAAAGTTAGTGAAGGCATCTAAATATATGGGCGACTAAAAGAGGATCGATTCGAAAAAAAATCCGCCTTTCCTGTTCGTCGTTCTGCAACTTCTGGGCCATCTGCTGGATCACAGATTTTCTGCCTGCTTTAGTGCTCGCGCATACGCAGACACACTGATACATTGTGGAATAAGACATCGGAGCGCATTTAAAAGTGCCTGGTGCAGCAGATGAGCAAGGTCGGTCAGAAGAGTTTTATCAATCCTTTAAAAAGTTTCTTAAAATTTAATGTACGACATTCATATAGGACAACTGACCTGAGAAATGATCGAAATTTTACTGGGTCCATGTAAAAGAGGTCAAGTGTATCGGCGAAGCGTTTGCAATTAACGGAAGTGTGTAGGTTTAAAAACTAGTTCCCTGGTTCCACGTAGAAATTGTAATGAGGCAAGACATTTCAAAAAACTGCTGCATCGTCATACTTTCATGAGTCCTTTTCTGCGTATGCACTGAAGTGTAGACTCTGTCTGTGATGATACCACAGAAAATGTATGGCTAGAACTGTCCGTATTTTTATTATACACTGAAACAGGAATAAGTAGCGGCTGATTAATGTGCTACAGGAATGATAGGTGATCAGGAAGAAATTTTTTTTTGCGTTTTGCCATAAGTAATGAGTAAGCCATTTTCCCCTGACCTGGCCTGAACAGAAGTGACAGCGTCAGAATAATTCGTATTATTATCTACTGAAGTAGCTGCATATGGTACAAAGATGTAATAAGCATATTTTACTCAAAGAGTTGACTTTACTTAATCAATTACTATAATGTATAATGTAAAGATAAGCGAAGCTACGACTGAATCTTTTCGAAACTCTTAATCAGTTTGACAAGACAAAAGTTTAGGGTCAGTTCACCTATACGAATTGAGTGCAGTCATGAAGATGCAATTGGCTAAGCAACGCAAAGTATTTGGATCAATACCGAGAAAACAAAAAACTGCAAAAATCTTTTCAAGACGTAAGCTGTTAAGTATACGGAAATGCAACAGAAGTCAAAAACCACATAACATGATCAACAGAAGTTATAAGGAACATGAAAGCGATGCGATTAACCATCGTAATCAATCGATCTGATTCTGACCAACAACTCATCGAGTCGATACAAATTCTCATAATCACATTTCTAATATGTGAATAATCTGAAAAATTTTCTACTTAAGAAATAAAACAGTTTTGTAACGCCTCCTAGAAATCAATTCATTAAATTAGAAACAGCGACAAAGCACTGGTAAAAAATTTAGTACTCACTTTAGACTGCCAGGAGGGCATGAAATCCGCACTATAACGAACACGTTCGAAGAGAGCCTGCACTTGTGGACTAATCAATGCGTTGTCTGAAGAAATAAAATGACGATACAGAAGGGGACAGTTTACAAGCGAAAATTAACACCATCGAAGGAAAATCCAGAAATACAGACACAAGACATATTTGAGATTTTGGCATTCTAAAAAAAGTAATTACATTAATATAGTATCAAAAAAATGAATACACGTCAGAGTCTGATAATAAGCGCTAAAAATACCGGACAACCGAATTTCGTGGCACACTGCACTGCCCTCGAGACCTCAATTTCTTCAGGGAAACAGTAAAGCCATTGACCACAGTTCAATTATATGCGAGTGCCTGTTCTGCTAGTAATATCCCATTTCTTTCCACTGGCTAGAAGAACAGAAGAATCGCCCCTGACTCGAGTGCTTTTAAAAATCTGTCCATATCTGGACTGAGAATCGGGTTACTTTTCCCATAAAACTCCGCCTGTACTTTGTCTCATTCAGACCAATTTTGTTGCAGTGCATGAAAGCGGTTGCTCTAAAGAAGGAATAACTACTTACAGCAGCGTTGCTTTCTGTTATTAGCAATGTTAGCGTTTCTTCTGTAAGTACTACTGTCTGAAAAGCTCTAAACGAAGGAAGTGGTCTGGCACGATTAGCGGTGATAAGTGGATACGTTCAGCGATATTTTATATTTAACTGCCATCGATGACAACTGTACGTTCCAGTGCGAATTCATTTCTCATCAGATTCGTCTTCACCCTTTTTATTCGAAGTCCAGCTTGCCTGTTTGTTGAATCTAGCCCAAACAACTACACGTTCAGGGCTCAGTTTTTTCTGCATGTCCGCAATAGCGCGATGTGGTCAGCATATCAAACATGAGTGAGCGGTCTGCTGTTGATTGACAGTCCTACAACCCAGTTCATTTCTCCAAACAGTGACTCAAGACAAGAGGCAACCAGCTTGAGCATCATGATGTCTGCTTGATTAATCCACTAGAAACCATGATTTCAACTGGACCCTGACAGAGATGAACATTCGCGTTGCAACTGGTGCATATTTGTCCATGTCAAAAGTCTTTTCATAGTCGACGAAGATCATGTGGATTGACAATTTGTACTTCGAGAAATCTAGCTTGATCTATTGCCTGTTGTTCGTCAAATTTCTTGTTCAAACGATTAGGAGAACGAGCGTACAAGACCATAACTTTAAGTCCTCTCTGTCGCCCCTTCTTGCAAAACAGCACCGTTCGTGAAGATTTTCACTTTTGCAAATATGTGGTAAAGAGTTTTGCCACGAAACTGCTTTACCAGTTTCCGAGATGCTTTATAATGTCCGCTAAAATATGATCCGAGATCAATACTGTGCGTCATCGTTCATCTGAGACAAATCCACTTGGTCAATCTTCAGGCATGACGTGTGATTTTTGCTGAGGGATCAACAGCAGTGTTCACCCTTCAGCCGAAAAGACTACTGTCGATACGTTTGCACACATCTTTTCACACCTTGTGGTCTGTTACACTCTCCAGTCACATTTTGACGCTGGCAATACATTGAGGTAAAAGCAGAGATCGCTTGCACAACTTTTCGTACTTCCCTTTTCGACCTTACGGTGCAATCGTTCTCTTGTAGCGTTCGAGATCTTTCACCATCAGTCGCATAGTTTGCAGTAGCAAATCATACTCAGTCAGATTCATAGAAATTTTTTTCAATTCTCCATTTTTCGAAGCAACTCCTTTGAAATGTGTAACAGAGTTCCCGCTTCTGCAAATCATACCATCTCTTTACCCATTTTAGACGAAGTAGTAATATCCGCTGTTCAGATGATCATCGAACATCATCTCACGTTCTGAAATCCCCTGAGAAAATGTGTCAGTCCTCATTTACTATTATTCTGACTTAAACTGCTTAATGCTAACAGCTTCCTTTCGACTACAAGATTTATAACAACCCTTACTCCAAGCATACGGTAATCGGGCATGTTAAAACCAATCACAGCTGTGACATCTTGCACAAATCTGTTTTCGTCAGTTACAACGAAATACATTTCAATTCGATAAATTAACAACAATAAGATAGAAGAATTTTTTCCTAACGGCGTTTTAAGACTCGACACTACTTTGTGTTTTTCTGAAACGACGTAAATTTTTGCATCTGAAACGTCACCGATAATCAACAGGCAAAAGCACAGGAGAGTTCCAAATGAATATTTGCTTTTTTTGCCCTGAAGACGCGATAAACACGGTCCGGTTAATTTACCAAAAAATAAATGCGTTTTCTATTTGTATGATATTTTAACATATTATT